CATTCCCTGCCCTACCTATGTGAATTTATGTGTGTCATCTCCCACTCCTGGATTTGACTCCAGGAGTCTCCATATCTCTGACTCTGGAAAACTTTCAATTACTTCAAGGTCCAGCCCTTGGTGCCACTTATTCTATGAGGCCTTCCCTGATGTTCACAACTCAAGAATCTCTATCCTTCCCCAGTCTGTCATGCTTCTGTTCCTAGGCACTTTCGTCATTATAACAACCGGTATTTGATTTATTTGTGTGTCTCACCCCCTTAACAAATTCTAAGCTTTTTAAGGACAAGTAGGACTGTACCTATTTTTACCTTTATATACATAGTTCCTAGCACAATGTATCTTAGCACATAGTAGGTACTTCAAAAATGTGATATTGAGTATGTTATAATGGATAAAGTATTGGGCTCAGAGTCAGGAAGAGCTGAGTTGTAATCCTTCCTCTGACCTTATTAGTTTTGTAGCTCTGGGCAAGTCACTTAGGCTATCTGTCCCCTCTTTCTGCATAGTTAAAAGGGGGATAATAATAGCACCTGTTTCATAAGATTCTGTGAGGATCTAATAAAATAATATATGTAAAGTACTTTCCAAGCCTTAAAGTTCTATATAGATGAAAACTATTATTATTAAATTAAATTGCATCTTGGACTGGCCTATGAATGGATAATGAGCTAGAACCAGAACTGAGGTACAGATCTTATTTGGGAAACTGTACAGTTTTTAGATGATAGACTGTCATGGTACATTGCTGCAAGAGCCCACTACTTGAACTGCAATATTGTAGAAAGTATTAGTGAAACATGGAATACAAGGATTTCAAAACATTCTAAACTCCACCCTCAAAGGGAGAGGGAAAGATGGTTAAGGTGGATGTAAGTATGATGCAGTTGTGACCTATATTCAGGGAGCAGGATGATGGGAAGCTGCACTGGTACATTGAGTGTCCTGTAATGCAGGAAGAGCAAGAATCTACTCTTTGGATGATATGAGTTAAAATATGGGCATCGGGGTGATTAGGCATGGATCAATGACAACACATATTGGTGGAGGGTGTGCTCACATTGCTAGAATCATGGATCACTCAGAACAGAGGTATAATTCAGACATTTTCAAGTCAGAACAAATAGATTTTAATGTAACTATTAATACCAACTGAGCCATGAAAATAAACACTGCTTCATGAAACTTGGGCCTAAAAGAAATCATAGTAGAGCCAATAGAAACAAGGCCATGATTGTTTTTAAATAATTTTGAGGGTTTTTTTAATTCTTTTTTTTTTCTTGGCTTGCCTTTTATACAGCTATCTGTTTTCAGGGAAACTCTGAAAGCAGGGAAACTTTTAGTTTTTGCTGCTAAAAGGTAATTGTCTTCTCTTCAGCCAATGTAGAAAATGTAGGCAGTATAGAACACATGTAGTCTTTGTAGTAGTATTGATTTTTAAAGTTTTTGCAGGACTGTGTATTAATTTTGAACCCAAGGCAAATTTAGCCAATAATGAAAATTTAGTGGGAGTAGTTAAGGAACTCGATAAAGAGCTGTATATGCTTTTACTTGATCAGTTTCCAGTGGCAGGGGATACCATGGTTGGATTGGTTTATTTTATTTTTCCTCCAGTCAGAGATCCTCAGACTCTGCAATTGCAGGTTACAGTGATATAAAATCTTTCCCTTTTGTCTACGTATTCACCCATAATGTACACCTGTTCTTAGATTTTAAAAAATTTCCAAATGGATTAAAAAAATAATTTTGGTTATAAAATAAGAAGACCAAATCTGTAATTATGAACCAGATTCACTACATATGTTTAATGATCATATACCTTATTCCCATCAAAGGAAATGTACTATTATTGGTAGCTATGTTTGCCCTGCCCTGGCAAAACTATAACCCCCTTCATTTCTACTTGGGCCTTATTCCCTGTTTCATGGACTATTATATAATTGGAATTCAGGCCTCTACTGAATATATCTCTGTGTTTGAAATGAGCAGGTGAAAATTGTGCAAAGCAAATAGCCAATAGGAAAGTGAATCACTCCTTTATCATCTGGTTTATTTACCTTGGGGTTTTATTTGCTGTTTCTTGTTAGAATGGTTTACTACTTCGGGCGATAAACAAACGGTTTCTTTGTAGCTCAAGAGTGGCAGGTGTTGAAACAGCTTTTTGCTGAGACTTGGTCAAAAGTCATCACTCACTTCACTGATCATTGGGCTGCCTCAAAGGATGAGACTTCCCAGTAAAGTATACTCAGATGTTGAGCTTATTCCATTCATGCCTCTTAACTGGGTGTTATTGCTTTGCCCAAAGTAGCTATTCCCAAATGCAATTACATCCTTTACACAGCACTTTGGTAAAGTAGTTTCCTTAAATGGTGTTATCCTCAGACAAATGGGGACAACCAGTGAGTTCACAGCTATTATGAAGCTAGAGAAATTACAAGGTTGTAAGAGTTACTACGGAGAGCCATGTCTTTCCCTCTTAGTAAGACAATTTATACTTTCCTACTTCAATGGTCCACTAATCTCTTTGATGTGGGTGAGTGAGATCACCTTCTAAGAATTCAGAACACAACCAATCCACCTCTTCTCATCCTATGTAATTTTTGTCTATATCATCCCATAATCCTTCACTGAAGGTCTACCCTACATACTGGAGACTGTGCTGGGGACCATCCATTAAAGTTGTATTCTTGGCCTCACTGCTTAGAACACTGCCTGGCACATTAAAGGCACTTAATAAATACTTGTTGGTTGGTTGACTAAGATGACTCTGAGTTCTCAAAGGCTATGTAAGTGACAGACTGCCTGATATAGGAGGAACAGCTTAGCTAAATATGGAGATATTCATCACCAATAGGCTGGCCGTCATAGGTGATTTGTTCTTTTGGCAATGACAGCAACCCAGGGAACAATCAGAGAAATCAAGTTAAAAAAAAAGTATCCTTAGGAGTACAGTACATTCTGCTATAATGCATATTTTGAAAATGTAAATTTGTTCCAATGCTATTGATATAAGGGAACATTTTGAACATAACTCAAATTTCAAGTTTTCTTTTGCCCGATTTTACCTCTGAGAAACAGCAAGAATGCAGAAAAATGCACTGCTTTACAATAGCTGTGCCCCTAATTCCAATGCCCACTTCCACAATAAAATTTCAGGTCTTTGTCAAGGTAAACTAGCATATTAATTGTCTCAGGTCCACACCATGCCCTCCTCCTCTTCAGCTCTTTCAGTCACAGCCTCTTCTAGAAGCTTCTTGTTATAGCCTGACCAACTTGCTTATACAGTCTGCCCAAGGCCCCAGATATGGCCACAATTATTGTTTTTGTTGCTGTTGTTTGGTCATTTTCATTGTGTCTGACTCTTTGTGATGACATTTGGGATTTTCTTGACAAGGCGCCGTTTCCTTCTCCAGCTCATTTTACAGATGAGGAAACCGAGGCAAACAGGGTTAAGTGACTTGACCAGGGTTACACAGCTAGTGTCTAAGGCTGTATTAGAACTTAGGTCTTCCTGACTCCAGGTCAGGTGCTCTATGCACAATGCCATCTAGCTGCCCATTGTTTATTGAAGTGTTTGTATATTTCTTAACCATTTAACATGTGTAAAACTGTGCTGTCATTTTTATTAGGTTCCTATCTTTTTTTTTTTAATGTGTTACTGATAAAAGTTTTTGAGCTTTGTGCCCCAACTCCATTTTCCTCATAAGCTCTGTGGTTTTTAATTACATGATTTTACATAGCATACAGTGCTTTTGGGGAACTCATATGTTGAATTATTTCAGAGCTGTTTGTACCTCATAAGATATACTTGTGATCCTTTGGCTAGTACTAACAATGCCCAAATACTCGAAGCCCTAATATAGTTGACTTTTCTGCTCTTGACCATCTGAACAAGGAAAGAAAATGATCCCAAGAGGAGAGCCACAGATGGCTTCGGGAAACTTACATCTTCCCCTGGGGATAAATGGGGTCACATGGTGGCAATTTATTGCCTGATACTTCACTTTCCTCATAAACAACTTTCTTTGAGTTTCCAGAGTTGTCTCCAGGCTCAATGGAATTATCAGCCATCAGCACTAACTAACCTTTGTATTTAATGGCACAGGATATAGAGTGCTGGAATCATGAAGACCGGAGTTCAAATATAACCTCAGACACTTAGTAGCTGTGTGATCTAAGCAAGTCACTTGACAGCTGCCTGCCTCAGCTTCCTTATCTGGAAAATGGTACTAACAATAGCACCCCATACCCCAAGGTTGTTGTGAGTTTAAAATAAAAGTACTTTGCAAACCTTAAAGTGCTATGTAAGTGATAGCTATCATCATTATCATCATCACTATTATTGAGTATCTGGCACATACTTCTTGACCTGACTTGATTTCCCTTTACCTGACACTATTCTATCCTCAAAAAGGAATTTGTCATTGGTATGTAGATGCAAGCTGAAAGGATGGGCAGAAAAGAGGGAAAGTGCATCAAAAATGGGGTCACCAAAGGCAAATTTCACCTAATTCACTCTTTCTTCTAATATTAACTCTGGACCCAATACTATAAGTACTTAGAATATTCTGTACTTGTGAAGACTGTATCAAAGAGTAGGCTTCTACTGTTTATGTCCCCTTTTCTTCAGAAAATCATACTTTGATTTTCACATGAATCTTTTTTGTAGATGCTTCCAGTTACAACTATGGGTGACAATGCCTTGTCACCTCACCACTGCTCTGAATTGCCAGGAATGAACATGGACTGATCTTCCCTATAACTGAGTACTCTGCTATTATTACCCAGGGCCATTTGGATAATAAGATCAGGTTTTAACTCATGAGAGTCATGACCTTCTCCTGGCCTGGGAGGCCTTTTAATCTTTAAGTTCTAGGTGCCATTTGACTGGGAGTATTCAATCTTGTTTAGATTTTTTCTTTGTTGTCCATTGATGGCATTTATGATTGGGGGTAGGGTATGATTTCTGAGATAATCAAACGGTGATTTTCTTCTTACAGGTGCTGCCTGACAAACAGGTCAAGGAGAGAGCTGGTAAGTCTGTTCTATGACATATGCTTATACTTTTGTTTTAGATAAGTTTGTACTTTAAAAGAGCCATGCACAGTTTGCATGTCATTAAATACTGAAAGTACATTTTGATGAATTATTAATAGGAAGATGTTATGAATTCTTTTTCAATATGTTTGTGTTCCAAGGATCCATGATTTTGTTCACACTATGTCCTAATGACCCCTACTCACCTTTTTCTCCTCCTTTTCATCTTCTTTCCACTACCATACTGGTGAACTGCCTAGCCAGAATCATTAGCATATATGCTTATCTCTTACTCTGAGCTGCTTCATTTGCTTAGCACAGGATGCTGACGAGAGCAGGACAGTGGATTTTGATCCACATTAAAGATAGTTGTTAGCTTCACACAGCGAAAAAAAATTCTTTTATAACTTTATTCTCTACCTCTTACATGCTGATGTTTGACACTTTTTTCTGTATGGAATAGATCAAATAGTATGAATGGCTTCATGTAAAACTATAATTACTACTAAAAAAACTTAGAGCAGGGATTCTAACAGATATGTCTATGTTGTTGGTCAATCCTTTTTCAGTCATGTCTAACTCTTGGTGATCCCATTTGGGGTTTTCTTGGCAGAGATACTGGAATGGTTTGCCATTGCCTTCTCTGCCTCATTTTACAGATAAGGAAACTTAGGTAAACAGGGTTAAATGACTTGCCCAGGGTCACAAGCTAGTATGTATATGAGGCCAGATTTGAATTCAGGAAGAGGAGTATTCCTGACTCCAGGATCAGCACTCTATCCACTGTACTACCTAGCTGCCCCACTAACTAGCAGCAATATATCTATAGACATATAGATATACACATTACGTATAGGATGTAGGTACAGCACATATGTTTATGTGAGTGTGTATGTATATTCAAAAGTTAGCATTTACAAGGAAAACATATGATTCCATGATGTCATAGTACTTTGAGACAAATTTGAGTACGAATTATCTAGGAAAGTTTCACAATCAAAAAGTTAGAACTGGTAAAGCTTTATTTTTTTTAGGAGGGGGCAGGGGGGTATATACATTTAATTCTAGTTTTTACATAATCTGGTAAAATGGATATAGCCTTGAAGCATCTGGTATATATCTTTAAATCTTAGTTTTCACAAAATATTGTGAAATACCTTTAAATTCTGGTTTTGACATGATCTTGCATAATGAATGTGAGAAAGGCTCAAAGGATCTGTGACTGCATCATTACATACTGCTAACCATCTGGATAAGTGTATGCCTTAAGGAATTACCTGAGGCAAGATTTCAATCTAGGTCTTCTTTATTCTACCCCTAGCAGGGCTCATGCTCATGTGAAGTACAAGGAAAGCAAGAAGAAAACAGCATAAGCTGCTTTTTCCTGACTTAACTGACCAGTGTTCAAAAAATAGTGACCAAACAATGGAAGACCTTTATCCCTGTTTTCTCTCAGATACTTAAAAAAGAGGGGAGGGGAAGGTAGGTGGCACAGTGGATAGAGTGCTGGGCCTGGAGTCAGGAAGACTTATCTTCCTGATTTCAAATCTGGCCTCAGACACTTACTAGCTGGGTGACCCTAGGCAAGTCACTTAATCCTGTTTGTCTCAGTTCCCTCAACTGTCCAATGAGCTAGAGAAGGAAACGGCAAACCCCTGCAGCATCTTTGCCAAGAAAATTCCAAGTGGGATCACAAAGAGTTGGACTCGACTAAAAAATGGTTCTTAAGGATATCTGCTGGTTGTATATTGACTTAGAAAACTGCATGTTAATATTATCTATGTTCTATTGTATTTTATTTATTTTGTTCAGTATTTCCCAATTATATTTTAACCTGGTTCTAGCCCAACTCGGGAGTGTTGCCAGCATTTGACACCTCTGGTTTAACCCTTTTGGATTCTGGCATCAACATTTAATAACTGCATCACTTTCTGCTCCCAGAGTCTCTGTTTCTTCATCTGTAAAATGGATACAAGATCTCACTACCTAAATCTCAGGGTTATTGTGGGAAAAGTCCTTTCTAAAGCTTAACAATCTATATAAATGTGAGCTTCTACCAACTTATCCTTCCTTAAAGTTGAATATATTCCTCTAAGTAGTAAATCATTCCATAATGAAAATGTTGGGTACTTCATTTCTCTTGTTGAAATATCTGCCTGTATCTGAGTGTGTGAAGTGCATTTACCTTGACAAAAAAACTAACTAAATAAAAATAATAAAACCATGCTTCATCTTAGAAGTGACTGAGGAATGCACCTGAATCAGCAGCATGTTGCTTTTAGAAAATTAATCATTTTAACTAGACAACTGGCATATGAATGTGATTTCATCTCTCTTTTTTGGCTACATAAAAATTTGATTATCTAAGCTCAGATACACAATCCTTTTTGGCATTTAAAGCTCTTCACATACTAGCTCCAGCCTTGTTGTAAGGTATTTCCAGCCTTATTATACATGACTCACCTTCATAGGCTGTACTGGCAATCAATCTTGATGTTCTTGTATGACTTTCCTGAGGGAGGATTTGAATCCAGATCTCCCTGCCTTTTCATTGACTGTCCTCCATGCCAGGAATGCACTTCCTCCTTATCTATTATCTGTATCTATTAAAATCCCTACTATCCTTCTGAGCTCAGATCAAGTTCTAACTTCTATTTGGAGACTTTCCTGATTTTCTCCCAGGCTGCTAGTTCCCTCCCTACCAATTACATTGTGTGTGTGTGTGTGTGTGTGTATGTGTGTGTGTGTGTGTGTGTTTGTATGTATAATATATATATATACACACACACATATTTACATATATGTGTGCATTTCTTTCCCCTAATAGAACATAAGCTCCTTTAATAAAGAGACTGTCATTTTTGGTCTTTGTACCTCTAGTGCCTCATACGTAGTAGATGCTTGTTGATTTATTTTGTTTATGTTCAACATATTTCCCTCACCCAGGGCTTGCTAGCTTTGTGACCCTGGGCAAGTCACTTAACTGCATTTGCCTCAATATCCTCATCTGTAAAATGAACTGGAGAAGGAAATGTCAAATCACTCCAGTATCTTTGCCAAGAAAACCCCAAAGACCCCAGTGTCTGGCAATAGTAGTTGCTTAATAAATGCTTATTTACTGACTTTTGGACTGACTATAGGGCTCGGGACTAAACCTGTGACTTTATGGACATAGTGCATTCCTTCTACCAATACAGGTCAGCACCTTCTCTGTAGTTTCCAGTCTCAGAGAATCACCCAGAGCACCGAGGTCAAGTGACCTGCCCTGAGTTACAGAACCAGTATGTGTCAGAGACAGAACTGAAACCAAGCCTTTCTAGCTCAGAGATCAGTTCTCTACTGTGTCTTTTTCAATCTTAATAATTTTAGCGCTTTCCTTCTGTTGATTATTCCCTATTTATGCTGCATGTAATTTATATGTACTTATCTGCAAGTTGTCTTCCCCATTAGATTACGAGCTACTTGAAAGGAAGAATGTCTTTGATTTATTTCTATATCCTCAGCACTTAGCACAGTGCCTGGCACATAGTAGGTGCTTAATGTTTCCGGATCAACTATGCCATAGTGCCCTAATGTTTCTCCCACCACAGGATAAAGTTTTGTTTTCTCATCTAATTTAAATCCAGAGAGAGAACCAGCTACAATTTTCACCCTTCAAATAACAAATGGTTTTTTTTTTCCTGTTGCAGTTTAATCTCTAAAAAGGTCAGCATTTGATGACCCATCATATAATATCTGGCTCTCATATTGTGATTTTTGCATATTGGGAGGTAGAATTTGTGCCTGCAAAAGTCCCTGGTTCATAGCTGTTGAAAGTCACACTGCCTTTTGGTGCTCTGTTTCTGTCAGGGGAAATGAATAGGAAAGCAGGCAAGCAGAAAACTAGAAAGAGGCAAGTCCATTTCTATAGAAGTAATTAGAGAAAGCAACATGAGAGTAGGACAGATCAGTGAAGGGTGGCAGATAGCAATTTTTCTGCACGTGTAAATCTGACGAATGTGGTAAGCAGCTAACTCAAATTCCCATATAACCAAAAAAAAAAAAAAAGACTTTGAGAATGACTCTAGTTCTTTTCTTTCCTTGTCTTCCATGACATCCTTGGCTAATTCCAGTTTTGATGCTGATTCTTTCTTACCGTTTTAAAAAGGGAGGACTGTCATGGTCTATGTCTGTTTGGATTCCTCCACAGGCCTTCCAGGCCCCTTGGCACACAGCTGCTTGGTGTATTTTTGTGTGAAGGGAGATGTAATATTTCAGGCTGACTGAAGAGGCCACTGTTAGTACATATTGGCACATAATACAGAGTGAAACAGGAAGAAGGAAGTGTCCTTGACTGGAGTTCAGTATTTGTAGTGGTGGTGGTGACCACAAAATGTACTTTTCTTATTTACTAAACCTGTGCTAGATTGACCCATATTCTTATTATTTCCCATAATACAACTAGGGGTTAAATAGGGCTAGGGCAAGACATGAATTGCTGCAGACATTTGTATTACTTCAAAATATAGTCTAGTAAGAAGCACAGATTTAGAGCTGAAAGGGACCTTAGAGGTCATCTGTCCAAACCTCTTATTTTATAGATGAGAAAACTGAAGGGTGGAAGTGAGGAGGAGGTGCTTTCCAGACATGATGGAAAGGCACTGGAGGTAGGACGTGGAATGCTAAGTTCAGAGAACAGAAAACAGACCACTTCGGTTGAAGCACAAAGTACATGTGAAGGGCAGTCATGTAAACTAAGTCTGGGAAAGTCTATTAGAGCCAAACCATAATGGATGACATTCACTTCCATTTTTACCAAATGCAACATCTGACTTTTATCACTACACAGGCCCCACCCAAGATTGATTTAAGTGAAAGCCGTCACTATGAGACAAAACAGTTAAGTGACTTATCCAACATCACATAGGTAGTAAGTGGCAGAGCTGAGATCCTAACCCAGGACTTCTGGCTCCAAATCTAACCTTACTTCCATCACAACATGTGAGAGGGGCCTTTTC